TGCGATCTCAAGTTTCGGGAAAAGACCAATTCAGACTTAGGCGGGCCTTGGCATGATTTATAAGTTCAAATAACTCATCGTATGCAGGGCTTTGATGAGAGGAGCAGGAGATCTTTTTGATATCAGAACCAGATGTGAGTGATTGTGAAGAAAGCCGCATCCAATCACCTCAAGGACTGAATGTGTATGCACCACTCCAAGACAGATAACACACAGCTCATATCCATTGCTATTTTGAAAAGGTTTTTCTTTTCTTTCACAAAGCAAACACACAAGCAGCTTCCTGAGGACATAGATGCTCTTTTTATATGCTCAGGTGCAGTCATCGCACTGTGTTGGCAAATGATTAGAGTGACTACACACGTGCCTCAGACATAGGGTTTCAACAAGGGCGCGCCCCAATAGCGGCAGCAACTGACACAACGTTGAGTTCCTTTAAAAATAATTTAAGTAATGTACCTTATATATCCAGTTTGCTTTGTCTGCTTGGCTCAATCTGCACAACTCAATCATCAGACAAACCACCATCTTTTTAAGCCATACTGGTTTAAGGCCAGGGATACTTTCACAAACATAACAAGTTGTTTGTCTCACAGCATTAGACACTGTTCACCAAGTATCAAAGCTGGCCTGAGAGGAGAATAGAGTGACCCAGAGGTCATTAATATCATGAGTTTGATAATTGTTCCCCTTGGGCCATAAGTTCTCTGACTGGTCCCAGATGTGAGAGCCATGATAGACAAACCACAGTCCTTGTCATGACAGTCAGGCCACAATCTCTGACCATCCTCATAAGTTTTAGAAAATGTTGCTAATATTTTGCTAATTTTGTATTTAAGCGAGACATGTGGTTTTTATTTCCTTTACTTCACATTTCTGTAACCCTGTATAATACAACAAATTATTTATAAAAAAAAATAATTAATTAAATCATCTATTAAAACCTGGAGGCATAAATCTAATAAAGTTGAGGAAGAAACCATTGAGAGTAATAAAGTTGATCCTGCTGCTAGCTCATGGACAGCTAATCCAGATTCGGAAGGGAATTATTCAGATTTCACTTGGCACATCTAGAAGACATACAGGTTGCTCACATGTTTGAGCTTTTAACAGTCTTCAATTTTCTCTGTTGAAATCAATGGAGTTGCTGTGTCCATTTCTTTTACTGTCTATGGTCGCTATGGGGGAAGCCATTTTATTTTCTCTGCAAGCCTGCTTAGACGAGAAGCAACATAAATATGTGTAAAAGTTAACAAACATCATAGAAGATTAAGAGACATTTATGTGTTTTATTTTTTGGATTTGGTTATGTTTTTTGCTCTACGCTGGAACAACGTCATTTCAGCGGGATGATCCAAGATGGCAAGCCTTCCCAGCAAGATGTTCATTGATGTGAGATTTCAAACCGTTTCAAACCAACAACTGAGGAGTTTGGTAGGAAAGATGTGATTGCTGCTAGTTTTTGTTATAAACTGAACTGAGCTTTGTTTTTGAGTGACTGCCCAAAGAGTAGTTCTATTTCATAGTTCTATTATTTTATTACAATGTCAATAGTCAAAAAAATCAAGTCAAGTAACATTTATTTATGTAATGCTTAACAAAACACAGATTGTTTCAAAACTGCTTCCAGAACAGGAAAATAACGATCATGCAAACTTCCTCAAATATGAGACAAATTCAAAATAAAAGCAGCTCTACAGAAGTCAAGTGTCATTATTCAGCTCAAGTCAGTTTCAATCAGTTCAATGACAGACTTTGTAAAATAAGTGATTTTTAAAAAGCAATTAAGTTGAATCATGAAGTAAAACAGTGGTGTCATCATCCATCTTACAGTAATTCAGTTCAAGTTTTTGTTCTCATCCAATAGTGTCAGTGCAGTCAAATTGATATTACTGAATATTAAGTGTCTTTTAAACCCCAACTAAGCAAGCCAAAGGTGACAGTTGCAAGAAACCCAAATTCCATCAAATAACAGAAATTGAGAAAAAAAAGAGAAACCGACTAAAGAGTTTAATCGGGTGGCCTTTTGTCCAGTGACCAACTCAATATGTAGATGAAACATAGATGAGATTTCCTTTAAGCCTCCTGAGCAATAAAGGAGCAACCTCTTTGTAGAAGTTAATTTTCCTTTAAGTCTATATATATATATATATATATATATATCCAAAAGTACTGAACTTATCAAAACACATGAATTTTATCACACATTTGAAATCACAGGCCCTGGTGGTAAGAAGTGAGGTCATGAATCCAGCTGAATGAAAACTGATGCTCTTCTGGCAGAGTGGCAGACACAGTCAGGCAGAGCATATGGTAGCGGCATATGTTACGGCTCATTAGGTATAATTACAGTATATTAAAAAAATCATTGCTGTGATATTTTCTCACACTGTTGGCTTTTCAAAAACCTTTGTGAACAGAAGAAGCCATTCATTCTCACAATCAACAAAAAGCTTTAATTAAGTCTACCATAATAACATCAAGCTCTTTGATGTAGTTGGGGAGTTCCTTTTCTCATGTCAAGTTATGATGTAAAGTCAATCATTTATGTAATCCTAACACAAATGTTTGGAATTTGGTTATTAATTTGATAAGCAGGAGTTTGTAACGTGAATAATCATATTAATAATAGGACAATTGTTGGTTAATCCCTAAATCTTGGAATAGCTGAAAAGTATTTTTTTTAAAACTTATGAAATGTTATAAAAGACTTACAGCTGAAATTAGGAAACAAGGCTAAAAGAGGATTCCTATAGTTATTACAGAAATGTTAAATGTGTGTAATACAGAAGAAAATGACTTAATGGCTGATTAAAGACTATTAAAATGGCCAGCAACAGTTGCTCACAAACATCTGTGGTCATGTTTAATGCCTTTGAGAAAACGAAGACGAATTTGAAACTAGATAAACATGTTAATAAGGGGTCATTATTTCTCGAAACACACAAATTCCCAGGGAGGCAATTTAAAGAACCCACTGATGAGTCTGAAGTACAAGGTCAACAAACTGAGCCCAATGGACAGTGCAAAGAGACTAATATAACACTGTAAGGTGATAATGACTTCCCCAAAGAGGGTCAGTTATTGTAATACTATGCAAATAATGCATGCAAACACTGATGCAATCAAAACAACATTATTTTTCACATTAGATCTATAGCATGTATTAGTAGACTTTTCGATTCATGTTAATTTTAACATGGGCCTGCAAGGTTACAAGAATGTTATGCATGCACCATGAGTCATGACATGTGAGTGGACAAACAAATTTCCAGGTGTACCCGATTATCTTTACATCATGTTTTAGAAAATGTGTCATTCCTCAAGCATCATCGTCCACCTAAAGTAAGGCAGATCAGTAATATTGTTGAATATTAAATGTAAGCAAGCCAAAAGCTAAGGCAACAGTGCGGCAAGGAACCAAAACTCCATCAGGTGACAGAATAGAGAAAAAAACCTTGGGAGAAACCTGGCTCAGATCATGGGAGCCAGTTCTCCTCTGGCCAACGAATGAACAGTGTATGATTATGATTCAGTCAGATTGGATCAGAACATTCACAATAATTATCCAGTTCCATCTGGTTGGAGGTCAGAGTCGTCACGCCAGTATGGAGACGAGTTTGTTGAGGTGTCCATGAGACCTTCACAGGCCTGATGAGGCTGGCACTTCAGGGATGCGTTGTGGTCGTGTCCAGGCACAGGTTCACTGTCTGATCTGGATACGGCCTAGCCTGGCTCCGCCCTCTTACGTAATTCCACTCAATTTTCATTTTCCTTCAGTAATATGTCTGGTATAATGGTGTATTATTTGGTTTTCTCCGGTAATTTTTTTTAATCAGCGAACCGAGGGAGTGGCTGAGAACGATAACGTTGATGTCATGTGCTAATTGAGTCCACTGTGTTTATCAAGGGCAGGGTCAATGCAGCTAGGAGATTTTGGAGCACTTCATGCCGCAAGACCCAACACTCTGGATGAGCTTAAAGTCGCTATCGAAGCATCCTGGGCCTCCATAACACCTCAGCAGTGCCACAGGCTGATTGCCTCCATGCCACGCCGCATTGAAGCAGTCATTTCTGCAAAAAGGATTCCAAGTATTGAGTGCATAACTGAACATAATTATTTGAAGGTTGACTTTTTTGTATTAAAAACACTTCTTTTATTGGTCGGATGAAATATGCTAATTTTTGGGGAAAGGAATTTTGGGTTTTCATGAGCTGTATGCCAAAATCTTCAGTAGCGTATTAAAACAATAAAAGACCTGAAATGTTTCAGTTGGTGTGCAATGAATCAAAAATATAAGTTTAATTTTTATCATTACATTATGTAAAATAATGAACTTTATCACAATATGCTAATTTTTTGAGAAGGACCTGTAATAGCCTATTTGTATTAAAGGCAACCTGGACGGAACAACTTTCTAATCAACATTTTACAAAAGGTTTTAATTATGTCATTGTTTATTTATTATTCCTACATATTCAAGTGTTTTATCCATGGCACTTTCCCTGATTAGATCATCAAGTAGGCTATATTTTTATTTTAATGCCATGATTTAGCAGTTATACCAACAAACTCTAATCTGTATTTAAACACATATTTGTACCATTGACTTGTATGCTTAGTATTAATTCAATCATCCACAAGAGATTAGGCTATTTACATAATCATAATGAAAAGATCATGTGATCTGAATACACTGGACAATTTTTTGGTTAAACATAGCCTAAATATAAACAGAAAAGGCTAGGAGGAGAGTCATTTCCCTTATATTTGTGCCATGGCTCATCATTCACCTGTTATCCAGCCGACCTGAAAAACATTTATGATGTTTTTTTTTCCTGTCTCTGATATGTAGCCTACAGTAGCCCTATACAAGGAGAGCATGTCCAACTGCTTATAACTTGTGTTCTTTAGCCTACAACACAACTACTGGAGAGAATGTAATATAGCCTACCTTTTTTTTTTTTTTTACTACAGTGTGCTGAACAATTTAAAAAAGATGAAAAACTCATCGATTATGTCTTCAGTCGTACTGGAGGTCCTTTACAGAATGGATGATCTTAAATACCTTTACATCATTGTCTTTTCTATGTTGTACATGTTTGTACTTGTTGCTAACACCACTGTGATTTTTATCATAATTATTGACCGAGCGCTTCACAAACCTATGTATGTCTTTTTATGCAACTTGGCTGTAAATGGCGTCTATGGTGGTACGGCTTTGCTTCCAGCCTTGATGGGTACTTTAATGTCTCCATCTCATGAGGTATCTTTGGCATCTTGTCAGGCTCAAACCTATTTCCTGCACACATATGCTATCATAGAATTCACCATTCTTTCAGTGATGTGCTATGATCGCTATGTGGCCATATGTTATCCGCTACAGTATCACAGTATCATGACAATCACAAAGGTGTATAAACTAATGGCTTTCTCATGGGGTTATCCTTTAGTGGCATTCGCTTTGTTTTTCATTCTGACTCTGCGCTTGACAATCTGTAGAAACATAATTGAGCGAGTGTACTGTTCCAACTATTCTCTTGTCAAACTGTCCTGTGATGACACAAATGTTGTGAATGCTATTGGATTGTTTTCTGTTGTTGCATATACTTTTCCTCAGCTTGCAATGACCCTGTACTCATATGGACATATTCTTAGAATATGCTTTACTGCCACTAAAAAATCTAAAATAAAAGCACTGAAGACCTGCATGCCACACTTATTTGCAATATTGAATTATAGTGTGGGCTGTTTTTGTGAAATTGTACTAAGTCGCTTTGACACAAGTTATCTTTCCTTTGAAGCAAAAACAGTTATGTCACTTTATTTCTTAATATTTCCTCCTATTGTGAATCCAGTCATTTATGGGCTGAGTGTTCAGGCTCTTAGAGAAAACATGTTTAGACTTTTTAGGTCTAGGAATAAATTATTGCCTTTGGCTGTAAAATAGGATCTTTGTTATTTTCTAGATGAGAAATGTGTATGTTATAAAAAATTTCATCATGTCAGTTAACAGCTGACATTCCCAACATTTGTAAGCATTATCTGAATCATGTTTGAGTCACATGCAAGACAATGTGTTGCCCTCTGAAAAGCTGAAGTGCAAAAAAGTGTAATGAACACAATGATTGTCACCATTTAAGCAAACAATGATTGTCACCATTTAAGCAAACAAGCAATTCTTAAATGTTCTGTTACTCTTTTTACTGAGAAATGTGGAAGTTCATGGGTATGAGTTAGTGTTCAAAAACATTAAAAATGGAGCAAAACACATTATAGGTCTTATCTCATGCACAAATTTCAAAATAATTATTTTTCACATTTAACCATAGCCTACTGAAATATATTTGATTTCTAATTTCTAAGGTCTCTAAATTATCAATATTATCAAAATCTGTTGTACACAATACATGACTTATGTTGCCTGATTGATACTATACAAGGCTTTTCAGTATAATTCTAAAAATGTGCACCTTTAGGTCATGGTACAGTTTGGGCCTTTGAATAAAACGTATGTTTTTTTCAAGTTTATTATTCTCATATATAATATATGAGCCATAAAATCCTGAAATATCAAATATTATGATTCTCAACAAAAAACACATACACCATTTTTTTTTTTTTTTTTCTAAAGATTCAATAAACTGTTCCATTAAAAAAAACCAGACTTGTATTTAATGTGTCAGGCTTTACAGGCTTTTAAAATAACAACAGTTGATTACTGAATGATGGACTGTTTTTTATTGCATTGTACTGTTACTTATTACTTTACAGCCTGGTTTTATAGCATAGATCTTGTTTATTTATTTGTTTAATATCCCCCTTAAATCACATAACATGTAGATAAGCAACAAAGACAAAAATAGAACAAATTGCAAATGCCCGTCCTTTTCAATGCTTTACCACAGTACTTTAATTAAATTAATTATGAATTAAATCCTTTTACAGCACCTGCTGCCCTGTGATTCCACATGCAAAATAATTTGCCTCATTTAAACAGCAGATGGCAGCAAATGGACAAAAATGACAAATGAACAAGACATATATCCTTACTTTACAATGTTCTCTTGATCCACACTTAATTATATCAAGATAATACAATAACAAAACCTGTCAATTTTTTTTTTTTTTTTTTTGGCATTACATTTGTTTGCTTTTACGCAAGACATTAAGCATTCCTTTGCACCTATATTATGAAATGAGAACAAAAAAATATAGTTTGCCGGACAAACATAATGGACTACTGATTCACTAAAAGGTGTGTAATTTGTCATATTCTGTGCTCTGAAACTGATCCTCTAAGTGCTACACACGAGCCTTGATTTCACTCCCAGATGGTAACACACTGCCCAGAATTTCCCAAAATACAACTAAAATCACGATTCCATTACAGGAAAAGAAAGGTTTGAGGTCAGATGGGATCTTAAATGAGGTTGATCTGTTAGGTAAAATCACAGACTTGCTCAATCATCGTTTCGGTGTGCAAATCACAAGACAATGCTTTAGGACAAAGTCCAGCGTATAATGGTGTTCCCATACGTCAACATTCCTTTTGTCCTGTCAAGTTCCGGTTTAAAGTCAATAATTTATGTAATCTTAACACAAATGTTTGGAATTTGGTTCATAATTTGATAAGCAGGAGTTTGAAATGTGAATAATAATATTAATAATAGGATAATTGTTGGTTTATGTCTAAATTTAGGAATAGCTGAAAAATATGTTTTAAAAATTATGAAGTATTAGACTTACAGCTGAAATTAGGAAACAAGGTTAAAGAGGATTCCAATAGTTATTACAGAAATGTTAAATGTGTGTAATACAGAAGAAAATGACTGATTAAAGACTTATTAAAATGGCCAGCAACAGTTGCTCACAAACATCTGTGGTCATGTTTAATGCCTTTGAGAAAACGAAGACAAATTTGAAACTAGATAAACATGTTAATAAGGGGTCATTATTTCTCGAAATACACAAATTCCCATGGAGGCAATTTAAAGAACCCACTGATGAGTCTGAAGTACAAGGTCAACAAACTGAGCCCAATGGACAGTGCAAAGAAACTAATATAACACTTAAGGTGATAATGACTTCCCCAAAGAGGGTCAGTTATTGTAATACTATGCAAATAATGCATGCAAACACTGATGCAATCAAAACAACATTATTTTTCACATTAGTTCATAATAAGATCTATAGCATGCATTTAGAAAATAGACTTTTGAATTCATGTCAATTTTACAGTTTTTCTCCGTCGCTTTGGTGCATTTCTCACAGGATTGTTTTGAACAAGTATTACGGTAACTTAGACATTATTAAAAACATATTATTTTAGCTAAAGTTTGTGTCAATATGTGCCTTTTGCTCCATGTCTATCTGAGTGGACTGTGCTGTGCCAGACCGGTCTTAGGGCCTGTATGGGGTCAGTTTGGATCATTTTGTTACAGTTTTTTGATCCATCAGTCGCTTTGGTGCATTTCTCACATCACTATTTACATTTGCACAACAGTTAATGCAGTTCTCAAAACAATTTGTACAAACTGCAAAACTTAGTTAAAACCTGCAAAAGTGTGTCACATGCTCAAAATGGATAACTCATTCCTCAAAAGCAAATTCATGTAATTGAAAGTGTCAAATGGTTAATGGACTGCATTTATATAGCGCTTTCATAGACCTAATGGCCACCAAAGCGCTTTACATATTGCCTCACATTCACCCATTCACACACTCATTCACACCGACGGCAGTGTCAGTCATGCAAGGCACCAGCCAGCTCATCGGGAGCAACTGGGGTTAGGTGTCTTGCTCACGGACACCTCGACACTTGGTCAGGTGGAATCGGATTGAACCACCAACCTTTCGGTTTGTAGACAACCTACATGAACCACTGAGCCACTGCCGCACCGCCATGTCCACACACTAATACGTTTTCGTTTGAAAACGTATATTTTTCTCTCCGTTTTGGCCTTCCGTCCACACTGAAACGCCGTTTTAAGTCACCAAAAACGTATCGTTTGGAAAACGCTCTCCAAAGTGGATAAATTTGAAAACGCCGTTTTCGCGTTGTATTGTGGACAGTGAAACCTGAGGTATTTCAAAACGATGATGTAAGTTTAGTCATGTGATCCATGTAGTACCAATAGATATTCATTTATCGGTATTGTGCCTGTTATGTGTTATTCATTTTTACACTGTTGCTAAAATATGTTACTTTTATGTTACTTAATATGTGCTATTCTTCATAGCACAGTACTGCAAAGATGACAGATAATGTACTCACATTTGCAGTCCTGCGGCAAAACAGGAGTTGCGTTTTAGACCAAATATGGTGACTGAATGCGACCTGGATGCATCAGTGATGGTGAGATATTTTGCTAAATAAAATGATCCCGTTAGAAGAATTGCGCGATAACTTTATTATTTATTTCCCCCTCTGTAACGTCTCAGTGAGCTTTTGTGAAGTTTCACGCATGCGCAGTAAAGTGAATTTAGAAGTTTCTCATCCACACTGAAACGTCAGAAAACGCCTGAAAACACTAGTGTGGACGGAGAGCGTTTTTAAACGAAAACCCCGTTTTCAAATGTATCCGGATTAATGTGGACGTGTCGTCCAAACACCAGTGTTTATGAACAAGATAGTCAAATGGCTTTGTCATGTTTTCATTATGACAGTTTACTCTGTAAGTGTTTGCCAATGCAAAAAAAAAGTCAGATCTGACACTACCTGGAAATGCTCAGGACAGTCCTATAAACTATTTGCACAGCCATTTGAAAACTACAGTAAAGTTTCACATTACTGTATTTAGTGAGGTACAGTACTAATTGAGTACAAGACACTGAATATGTATGTTTCACATTTTTACTGCATGGTCTTTGCAATTCTACGTAATTTGTTCAAAGCATTGTGCAAAAGAAAAAAATACACCCATATTTACAACAAACATAAACTCCCTTTGGGTAGATCGGTGCACAACTGTAAACAATATAACAGTACATATTGGAACTGAACATACAACATACATATACTGTAAATCATTACATCCCTTCTCATCAGTGAAAGCTGAGGTTCACCTGCGAGAAATTGTCAATTTAGGATAAAAAAAAGTTTCTTTTTAAAAAAATATAAAAAAATATAAAATTCGCTTGAAGGATTTTGACAACTAGTTTACAGTAACATTTTTGTATGTGATGACTCAAGCAATGAAATGAGGACTATTAGTTTTATATGGAATGACTATTCAGCATTCACAAGTATAGTTAATTTGGACTGATATGACATAAGCAAATGATAATGTTATAAAACAGCAGAGAGTTGTATGAAAGCAATTGATGCATGTCCAAAAGCATTTGCAATTTGTTGGAAGGAATGAGAAACTGCTACTGTGATGTGCACAAATGACAAAATGTTGTAGAGGTTGAACTAACTGTTGTGCAAATGTAAATAGTGATGTGAGAAATGCACCAAAGCGACGGAGAAAAACTGCAATGTGTGGTAATGTGCGGTGAAGATATAATTAGCAATATAAACAACACAGAATGATAGTAAATAAAGATATAAAACAGAAAGCAATACGAAGCTAACCGACACAAACCACTCAGCAGCAGGCAATACACAGTTCAATATGTCATTTTAAACACCAAATTCTAAAGATGTCTGCATGCTTTTCTCTGGCGCACAAGGTCTATAGCAAACAACACTGAGAACATAAGACAGAGCCTGCCCTTGTATTTTCATTGATAGGCCTACAGGTCGCATGTAACAAGTCTCTAGCCTATTTGTTATAAAGGCAACCTGGACGGAACAACTTTCTTAATTACACAAGGTTTTAATTATGTAATTTTTTTATTCATTATTCCTACATATTCATATGTTTTATCTATGGCGATTTCCCTGATTAGATCATCAAGTAGGCTATATTTTTATTTTAATGCCATGATTTAGCAGTTATACCAACTCTAATCTGTATAAACACATAATATTTGTACCATTGACTTGTATGCTTAGTATTAATTCAAACATACACAAGAGATTATGCTATTTACATAATCACAATGAAAAGACCATGTGATCTGAATACACTGGACAATTTTCCGGTTAAACATAGCCTAAATATAAACAGAAAAGGCTAGGAGGAGAGTCATTTCCTTTATATATGTGCCATGGCTCATCATTCACCTGTTATCCAGCTGACCTGAAAAACATTTATGATTTTTTTTTCTGTCTCTGATATTTACAGTAGCCCTATACAAGGAGAGCATGTCAAACTGAAGGAGAGCATGTCACTGCTTATAACTTGTGTCCTTTAGCCTATTCAACACAACTACTTGGAAAGAATGTAATGTAGGCTACCTTTTTGTTGTTGTTTGTTTTACAGTGTGCTGAACAATTTAAAGAAGATGAAAAACTCATCGATTATGTCTTCAGTCGTACTGGAGGTCCTTTACAGAATGGATGATCTTAAATACCTTTACATCATTGTCTTTTCTATGTTGTACATGTTTGTACTTGTTGCTAACACCACTGTGATTTTTATCA